TTGAAGGAAAAAATCAACATACAAAAAAATGGAAAGAATTAACTAAAGATATTGAGGAACAAAATTTAACAAAAGATGAAATTTTAGTTAAATATAATAGTGATATTAAAACATTAACAGCAACAACTAAAGGAATTAAAGATGTTTATAATGCTTTTCAAAATATAAACAAAAGACCAATGCATAAAAGATGTTGGAAAACTTGCAATATTTACATTTATGGTTTTCCTAGAACAGGAAAATCATATCTAGCTCAAATATTATTTCCAGATGCATATGATAAATCAAATGAAGATGGAAAATGGTATCCAAACTTTAACAAAAATAATGAACATAATGTAGTAATTTATAATGAATTTTCTAGAAGTGATCTTAAATATACAAAGTTATTAAATTTATTAGATAGACGAGATTTTTCGATTCAATTTAAAGGTGGTAATGTTAATTATGCACCAAAAGTACAAGTCTTTACAGCAAATTCATCTCTAAGAGAACAATATACTTATCATGAAGATATACCATTTGTACAATATAGTAATAGATATAAAGTAACAAACAGAAAATATTATGCAGCAGCAAGTGAACGATTTGATTATATAATTGAATATTTTAAATTTAGAGATGATAATAAACAACCATGTAATGATGAATGTTTATACTGCAAAGTTCGCAGAATTTTTCACAAAGGATCATATGATGACTTTATAAATCTTAAATTTGATATAGAATTTAATAGTAATATAACTATTGAAAAAGCAGAAGAGATTATATATTATGATGATGGTCAAATGTTATATCATGATGAAAGAAAAGAAACAATATATTTTAGAAAAAATTTTAGATCTGATATTACACAGTATATATTATCAGATTATGAAATAATTAATGGAAAACATACAGATATAATCCAATATCCATTAATTAGAAAAAAATTAATGTCAAAATATCAATCTGTAGAATATAAAGAAATTATAATTAATCGTAAAAGTTTTCATGATAAAGAAAAAACAAAAATATCAACAAATAT